ATTACCTTCAGTCCACAAATTATTAACGTTGTGGTAACAGTTGAGTATTTAGAAATATAGTTTCAACATACAAAGAAAAGGGTAACCAAAGTGACCAGGGAATACAAATGCAGCAAATAGGAGTTCTAGGTGTGAGTAATTTTTCCCCTTCCCACTTTTTACTATGCTAGAAATTTGAGGACTGGGGGGAGTTTCCTTTGGAGGGCAGAATTCTTATTTGGAGAAAAAAATGTCCTCATTTTGCCTGTTCCCCATAGGGATTCCCCAATCACCTATTGCTGTTCTTATTAAGCACCATGTCCCCCTATATTATTTAACATTTTAAAAATAACATTTTTCCAAAATCTGTGGTGGACTTCCAGCCATGTAGGCCATTTGGCATGTCTGTGAAGAACTCAGGGACAGATCACTGGCTCCCTCTGAAAAATTTCACCTCTGAAACATTCTTAGTTGTAACCTATACTTATTCATATGAGACTTTAAAAAAACCCTTTTTGACTTAAATCCCAGTTTATCAAATAATATACATAATCATACAACAAATGGTCTGATAAGGCAATTGCAAATTCTCTCAATTTTGCTGTTTGATATAATGCAATAACAACATTTCTCTGAGTCAATCCTACGGTCATTGTTATGAACTTCCAAGACCGAAAATCTGAGCTGATTGAACTCTGCCCTCTCTTGGAAGTCTAGAAAATTGCATGTTCAAAAAGAATGCTAAATCTGACACTAGAAATCGCAATACCCAAAAATTTAAATCCTTGGGGCATACAGTAAGAAATTTATAGGTCACAGTTCTTGAACAAAGAAATTACAAATGAGGACTAGAAAGAGAAACAATTCATTAAATTATATTCACTATTATTTATCATGTCAGTATCAATCAGACAATTGTATTACATTTTTAACAAATTTTTAACAGACAAAACAGAGTTTGCAAGCTTGGTAGTTCATTAAATGTCCTTAGACCAGTAGCTGGCCACTTGGAGTGTCTCTGGTGTTGCTGCAAGGAGGTCCTCCATTGTGCATGTGGCAGGGCTCAGGTTGCATTGCAGCAGGTGGTCTGTGGTGTGCTCTTCTCCACACTCCACATGTTGTGCATTCCACTTTGTAGCCCCATTTCTTGAGGTTGGCTCTGCATCTCATGGTGCCAGAGCGCAGTCTGTTCAGCGCCTTCCAAGTCGCCCAGTTTTCTGTGTACCCAGGGGGGAGTCTCTCATTTGGTATCAGCCATTGATTGAGGTTCTGGGTTTGAGCTTGCCACTTTTGGACTCTTGCTTGCTGAGGTGTTCCAGTGAGTGTCTCTGTAGATCTCAGAAAACTATTTCTTGATTTAAGTCAAGGACATGAGACATAAGGGGGACATGAGAAAAGCCTCCTCACAGGATTGCAAGACATCCAGGCATCCCTGAGCAATGTCTTCATAGACGGCTGATTCTCTCACTCCAGAATCAACCAGAAGCGACTTAAATTATATTCACTGATCCCAATCCATTAGCAGGTGGCTTCATGGCATGCTGCTTATATTACTGCAAGAGTCCTCACTACTGCACATTTAACAAAAGAAATCTTCTCAGAGAGATTTTTGAATTCAGAGAAATTTATAAAGCAGATTTATTGATTTTATACATTAATACTAATTGACCACTATAAGGGTTTGAAAGACTTGTATCACTTCACCCAGCCCTTTGAAAAAATAGGCCAAGAGACATGATTCTGTCCCACTTCCATAACTGTAAGATATGCTTTGTAAGTACAGCTTTAATATCACTCAATACCACATCTGAAAAAGTAGGTTTCATATCCACAAAAGCTCATGCTAAAATTAAAAAATGTTGCCACATTTCTTTTTTTTCTTCCCCTCCCTTCCACTTTTGAATGCATCAAATTGGAGAGTCTGCTTTGTAAAACTGAATACATGGTCTTCTCAACCTCAGTTTGATTATAGTGGCACACAATGGAAGGTCTTATCCAGTTTTACTGTTATGATTTTGTATATTAGGGGTGCAAAATCTTTTGGGTTCTAAAAGACATGATTGGTGAAGAAGAAGGCTATATACTGGATCCCTGGTATCCACTGCAGTTTGGTTCCATGGTGGGACTCCCCTGTCCCAACATGGATAACAAAATCCCTCCCTCCCCTCGCACTTTCCCCCCATCCTAAACAGAAAGCCTTGCCCCACTGTTTTTATCATTCTTGGGCTCCCTTCACTTTCATATTTTTATTCCTACCTCACGCAGGGTTTTATTATTTTATCATTTTAACTTGTCCATTTGGCCTGCCCTTCCTGTCTGATTTTATATTGTGTGAATTTGCTTTATTATTTTATTTTGTTATTGTCATTATTTTCTGATGTGATTTTTGTTTTTTATTGTGTTGTATTGTATTTTTGGACTTGGCCTCATTGGGGAGATGGTGGCGGGGTTATTATTGACATAAAAGCACAGTATGTCACAGCAAATGAGATCTCTGTGCTGGATTTTGAATCACAAAATCACAAGTCAAACACTTCAAAGTGTCTAGGACTGTGTGATGTATTTTCGAATGATGCGCGCAGATCCAAGTAAGGTGGCCTTTTGCAGTTGACAGATCATGATTTTGTCAATGTTTATTGTTTCCAAATATTGGTTGGGATCTTTTGGCACAGCACCCAGTGTACCAATGACCACTGGGATCACCTGTACTGGTTTATGCCAGAGCCTTTGCAGTTCGATTTTGAGGTCTTGATAGTGGCTGAGTTTTTCATGTTGTTTTTCCTCCTCCTCCTCCTCCTCCTCCTCCTCATCATCATCATCATCATCATCATTATTTGAGCATTACAACCATGTCACTGCCTGACTTCATCTTTAAAATGTTAATTCAGTTATTCAGAGAAATGCAGTCACAATGCTATTAGGACAGACAGGACTGCCCTTTAATTTTTGTATGCATTTTACTGCTGGAGTGCAAATGGTTGTAATTATACAATCTTAAAACACTGGGTTGTTGTAGGTTTTTTCAGGCTATATGGCCATGTTCTAGAGGCATTCTCTCCTGACGTTTCGCCTGCATCTATGGCAAGCATCCTCAGAGATAGTGAGGTCTGTTGGAAACTAGGAAAAAGGGTTTATATATCTGTGGAATGACCAGGGTGGGACAAAGGACTCTTATCTGCTGGAGCTACGTGTGAATGTTTCAACTGACCACCTTGATTAGCATTTGATGGCCTGGCAGTGCCTGGGGCAATCTTTTGTTGAGAGGTGATTAGATGTCCCAAATGATTCTTCTCTGTTGTTTTGCTGTTGTAATTTTAGTTTTTTAATACTGGTAGCCAGATTTTGTTCATTTTCATGGTTTCCTCCTTTCTGTTGAAATTGTCCACATGCTTATGGATTTCAATGGCTTCTCTGTGTAGTCTGACATGGTGGTTGTTGGAGTGGTCCAGCATTTCTGTTTTCTGAAATAATATGCTGTGTCCAGATTGGTTCATAAGGTGCTCTGCTATGGCTGACTTCTCTGGTTGAAGTAGTCTGCAGTGCCTTTCATGTTCCTTGAATCGTGTTTGGGCATTGCTGCGTTTGGTGGTCTACGGATGTAAGAGCTGGACCTTAGGGAAGGCTGAGCGAAGGAAGATAGATGCTTTTGAACTGTGGTGCTGGAGGAAAGTTCTGAGAGTGCCTTGGACCGCCAGAAGATCCAACCAGTCCATACTTCAAGAAATAAAGCCGGAATGCTCATTGGAGGGAAGAATAGTAGAGACCAAGATGAAGTACTTTGGCCACATCATGAGGAGACAGCAAAGCCTAGAGAAGACAATTATGCTGGGGAAAGTGGAAGGTAAAAGGAAGAGGGGCCGACCAAGGGCAAGATGGATGGATGGCATCCTTGAAGCGACTGGACTGACCTTGAAGGAGCTGCGGATGGTGACGGCCGACAGGGAGCTCTGGCGTGGGCTGGTCCATGAGGTCACGAAGAGTCGGAGACGACTGAACGAATGAACAACAATAACAACATGTAGACTTGTCCACAGCTGCAAGAAGAACTAAACAGGTTCCTGGACCATCTTAACAGCATCCACCCAAACATCCAATTCACCATGGAAAAAGAAAATGAAGGAAGACTGCTTTTTCTAGATGTCCTAGTCATCTGTAAACCAGATCAACAATTGGGTCACACCATTTACAAAAAACCCAGACACACAGATATATCTACATAAAAACTCCAACCATCACCCAAGTCAAAAAAGAAGCACCATTAAAGCCTTGGCAGACCATGCAAAAAGAATCTGCGAACCCCACCTCTTCCAAGATGAACTGAACCACCTCAACTGGGCTCTACAGGCCAATGGATACTCCACCTCAGACATCAGAAGAGCTGCAAAACCAAGAACAAGCCACGAGAGTAAAGACAAAGATCCACCCAGAGGAAAAGTGTTCTTGCCATACATCAAGGGAACCACTGACCGCATAGGGAAGCTGATGAGGAAACACAACATACAAACTATCTACAGACCCACCAAGAAAATCCAACAAATGCTACGTTCAGCAAAGGACAAGAGGGATCCTCTCACTTCTGCAGGAGTCTACCATATACCATGCAGCTGTGGACAAGTCTACATAGGGACCACCAAACGCAGCGCCCAAACAATAAACGAATCAAGGCACTGCAGACTACTTCAACCAAAGAAGTCAGCCATAGCAGAGCACCTGATGAACCATCCATACACTTGAATATGTTGCCCTCATACACAAGGGTGCAAATCTTACTGAACATAGGGAGACCTAGGCTTCCAAGGAAACATGTATAGGATTGGACTATCGGTGCCATTCAAAGCAGATAAATGGTGACCTAGGTTACTAGCTGATCAGAGCAAACATTGCATAGATGGGGTAAATCTTGGTAATATTTAGAGAGAAAGCCTTGCTTCCTTAAACCACATCAGATGCTGTTTCATCAGTCTAATGAACACATCAGTATTCCAAATGGCACAAGAACCTTTGCACATGCTCCGTCTAGCATTGTAGCTCCTCATTCATCCACACAGATTTCAGCTTAAGCACAGCGTTCTTGTCACTGACGCTGCAATATCAGCAGTGTTCTTCTCAGATACAGGACCAAAACAGCTGATTTTCCATCATGGAACAATGATACATTAGCCAGTTTCAAAAGGATCATTTCCAACGAAAGAAAGATGCGGTCCCTGTTATGTGACAAGCAGCATATTTGCCTTTACGATAACCTGCCAAGGCAAAGCAAATTTAATCCAGGCAAGAAGACTGGTAACAGCAATCATTCCATGTGTTGTTTTCTAGCGTAATATACAAGCTATTGCTCCAGTCATTGCAGCAGCTACGAAACAATGCACTAAACAGTCGGCAATGGATTTCAGCACTTCATCAGTGTTTGATCAACAGAAAGGTAAGCTGTTTAGTGTTCATACTAAAATTAATTCAAGCTTATCTGACTGGAGCTGGTTATGAATGTTATACATAGCATTTTGCATTCTGTGTGGGAAATTTGGGGCCACATGGATTTTATGTTGAGTGCCAGATATGGGTGTCTGTAAATGTTGATTTTGGAAGGAGAATCTGTCTGTTGGAGCTCAGCCATTTACATCTGATACATAAAAGGTGAACATAATGATTATTGGATAATTTCCTTCCATTTCTTTGGAATTCTCTCTCTACAATAGGTGGCACACAGGCATCATTCCAAACCAGTCTCCTGGGGAGGGAGGGTTAGGTAACGAATTACATTTTCTTATTAAAATAACTGATTATGAAATTACAGGATAAGAGTCAGTGTTTTAAACCGACTGCAGGGATAGGATTGCTGTGAAATATCCCCATCATACACAGCAATTCCTAAAGAAAAGATGTATTTGTGCCAGGAAAGGTTACTATAGAAATAAAATCTTTTAAATGAACATGCTATATTTCATGTTCATTCACTTTATGCTATTTATTCTAAAAGCTCAATTCCTAAAGGTCTATAACTTTTCATATGATTTCAATGCCCACTAAAGCAAGATCTGATAGGAGATGCTGGCATTGGATCAAATATATGACTGCACAAAGATGTCAGTGAAATCTTCTCCAATCTCAATCTTTCATCCTCAATAATTTAAGATACAAATCTTAGCTCAATGGGAATGTGTGAAATGACAGAAAACATAAAGTCAAATGAATGCCCTCTGTTTATTCTCTGAATCCCAACTGTTTAATTGTTTTATCGCTATCCATACACTTGTTTTCATATGTAGTAAGGTAAAGGTTTTCCCCTGACATTAAGTCCAGTCATGTCCGGCTCTGGGGTTTGGTACTCATCTCCATTTCTAAGCTGAAGAGCCGCCATTGCCTGTAGACACCTCCAAGGTCATGTGGCCAGCATGACTGCATGGAGAGCCATTACCTTCCCACCGGAACGGTATCTATTCATCTACTCACATTTGCATATTTTCGAACTGCTCGGTTGGCAGAAGCTGGGGCTAACAGCAGGAGTTCATGCCGCTCCCCGAATGCAAACCTGCGACCTTTCGGTCAACAAGTTCAGCAGCTCAGTGATTTAACCCACTGTGCCACTGGGGGAGGGGTGTAGTGTGTAGTGTTTTATATTTAAAACTAGCCATCCCCTGCCACACGTTGCTGTGGACCAGTCTGTGTATATGTGTTTTGTGTGTGTACATGTGTGTATATATCTGTGTATATGTGTATATGTGTATATATGTGTGTTTGCATATGTGTGTGTGTGTGTGTGGTTTTGCACATGTGTTGTAATGTATTTTTTTCTTTTTAAGTCTTTTCTTATGTGTTTTTCAGTGTTTTTATGAGTGATGGTCACTCATTTGCCAGATAGGTGTATTGTGACGAAATGTGATGTCAATTCGTCCAGTGGTTTTTGAGTTATGCTAATCCCACAAATGAACATTACATTTTTACTTATATAGATAATACCAATAAGAAACACCACAATGATGAGGATAATGATGGTTTGTTTTTTCCATCCAATAGTTAATTCCAAATGCATTTTCTGTGTCGAGTTCTTCTCCCTCCCTTTAATTCATCAAAGGGTGCAACTCCCTATAAGATTTCCTTAGCCTGTATGGATTTGCCTACACGATGAATGTCTTTGAGGCAATGGTCGGCCTGACCAAACCAAACATATGCCTAGCCCAGCATTTTGCCTCTAGCAGCAGCCGGTCAGACACCAATTTGTCCTCAGCATCTCAAGGGAATAGGTCTCAGAATAAGGATGCCCCATGTTAAATAAATACGGTTAATAACCACTGACCAGCCAGCCCTCCATAAATCTGTTTTTCAAAAGACATCAGATCACTAGAGCACTCCTTGTCACAATGCAAAACAAATCCATGGCAACTGAGAATGTGCAAAGTGCATTCTCCATGTCACTGAATGATGACAAGCACTTTGTAACCCCCTGAGATGTAGGAAAGGAGCAACTGAGCCAAAGAGATGAAAAGAGGTTGACCTGCCTCTCTCATTTGACCAATCAAGCTGTCTTGGATAAGTAAATATGCTAGTTGCACATCAGCAACAGTCATTTGACACAAAAGGACTGTACATGAGGACTAACATGTAGTTCCCTTCCAGACTGTGGCAAAATTAATATTTGGGGTTCAATTTCCAGAACCACCCAGCCATCAAAATACATTGAAAAGCACTACCCCACCCCCCAAGGCAAACAAAACTATTCAGGGAGGCAAGAGCTCCCCTTCATTAATAAGATTTAAGTTACCATTACTATTCTCTTGCTAGTGAGATGCCCACTAACCAACAGGAATATATTTGAAAATATGGAAGATGACTATCATGCGGTCTATTTTCCAGAGGACTGGTGCCTATTTGTCCTCTCCCCAATCCAGATCTGGCATACAGGGAAAAAGATCCATGGGGAGAGAAAACAACAAGGAGCTTCAAACTGCCTATCAGCAGTTAGCATCTGAACAACATACAGACCAACCAATCATATTCTTTCCGATCCCCATTATGATGAAGAGCGCACAGTTTCTAATTAAAGTATGCATTTCTAAGTTTACATCTATACATATACATTTCACACGTGCTTTCTTCTGTCCTCTTTTTTGTGATGTGTTCTCCCACCTCCTTTGGCAATGTACAAGTGAAAAGCATATAATTATGGCAATGGGTTGTTGTGTGTTTTCCGGGCTGTATGGCCATGTTCCAGAAGCATTCTCTCTTGATGTTTCGCCTGCATCTATGGCAGGCATCCTCGTAGGTTGTGAGGTCTGTTGGAAACTAGAAAAAATGGTGTTTATATATCTGTGGCATGTCCAGGATGGGAGAAAGAACTCTTGTCTGTTTCAGGTAGGTGTAAATGTAGCAATTGGCCACCTTGATGAGCATTTAATGGCCTATAGTTTTCAAGGTCTGGCTGCTTCCTGCCTGGGGGAAGCAACACCTTTGTTGAGAGGGGTTAGCTAGCCCTGATTGTTTCTTGTCTGGGATTTCCTGTTTTTTGAAATCCTTGAAAACTGGTAGGCCATTAAATGCTAATAAAGTGGTCAATTGCTACATTCACACCTACCTCAAACAGACAAGAGTTCTTTCTCCCACACAGGACATTCCACAAATATATATATACTATTCAGCCTGAAAAACGCACAACAACCCAGTGATTCCGGCCATGAAAGCCTTCGACAACACAATTATGGCAAAATTTGGGGGTTTTCTCCATTATTTGACCAAAGGACTGGAGAACAGCCAATGCTTGTTCTCCATCAGACGTCCTGTCCAGGGAATACCTATTCTTATGTCTTTCAGTTTATGCCTACTATCATTCCTGAGCATTTATTGCCATGTTCAACCCTTTGTCTGAATCTTTCCAAGTATGGTTGTTAACAATAACTACAGTGCTGGCTTCTTCCTGGCCTCTCAGTGTATTGATCATCACTCATGTTCATCCCTTTATCATGCGAGTGTTCAGTAAGATGGGATGCCATCCAGTTTCTTTTGAGGTGGACGGAAAGCAATTGTGCTTTTCTACAGCTGATGTAACAAAGGAAACCAATCTGTGTCCTTGTTTCTCCTGCACTGAGTGCCAACAACAGTCCTATGCAGATAGAAGATCATATCCATCATTCTCAGAATAGCTGCATAAAAAGGCAAAAAAGAAGGCCTGTGCCCTGCCTCTGATATCTCCCCTTGACAGATACCCCTCTTTGCAGAAGTTTCATCACAACATCTCCAAAGAACTACAACATTTGCTACTGTATGGGACATCTTACAGCAGTTACAACCTTCCTAATGCCATGACACCTTGAAACAGTTCCACATGTTGTGGTGACCCCCAACCATAAAATTATTTTTGTTACTACTTATCTTACAGCAGTGGTTCTCAACCTTCCTAATGCCACAACCCCTAAATACAGTTCCTCAAGTTGGGGTGATCCTTCCAACCATAAAATTATTTTCGCTACTTTATAACTGTAATTTTGCTACTGTTAAGAATCATAATGTAAATATCTGATATGCAGGATGTATTTTCATTCACTGGATCAAATTTGCCATCAATACCAAATATGCTCAAATTTGAATACTGGTGGGGCTGGGGGAGATTGGTTTTGTATTTGGGAGTTGTAGTTGCTGGGATTTATAGTTCACCTACAATCAAAGAGCATTCTGAGCTCCACCAACAATGGAATCGAACAAAACTTGGCACGCAGAACTCCCACAACCAACAAAGTACTGGAAGGGTTTGGTGGGCATTGACCTTGAGTTTGGGAGTTGCAGTTCACTTACATCCAGAGAGCACTGTGGAATCAAACAATGATGGAGCTGGACCAAACTTGGCACGAATACTCAATATGCCCAAATGTGAACACTGGTGGAGTTTGGAGAAAATAGACCTTGATATTTGGGAGTTGTGTTTGCTGGGATTTATAGTTCACCTATAATCAATGAGCATTCTGAACCCCACCAACGATAGAATTGGGCCAAACTTCCCACATAGACCCCCCCATGACCAACAGAAAACACTGGGGGTTTTTTTTTCAGATGGTCTTTGGCGACCACTCTGACACCCCGTCATGACCCCCCCCCCCCGGGTTCCAACCCCCTAGTTATGAAACACTGTCTTACAGGCAAGGAGGTGTACATAAATAGGATGCCTGTTTGTTTTTTGTTTTGTTTTTTCAGATTCTGTGCTGTATAGGTTTACGTCCAAAAACAGAGGTAGAAAAGTGGTAAAACTCCTTCTTTCTCTATATGTTTATCCAATACATAAACCCAAATACATCTTTCTAAACAGCAGTGGTTCAGACCATGTGTTTCTGCTGAGTCCTGGCCAAAGGCTATCACACTAGTTTCATCTGATGCAAAGGACAAAACAGTTGCTAGGTTACCTTTTGATTTACCAGCACATAAAGCACGGCAGCAGTGTGGCAGTGCTAGGGACTGCAATCATGTAAATCAGTGTAAGGGGAGCAGAGGGGACAGTCATGAAGTCCCAAAGGGACCCTGTTGCCAGTTGCTATGGCATTTGGGGATTTCTCACAGCTATGAATCAGAGATGGACCAAACCACAGTCTACTACTGCCCCCACCATTTGAGTTTCCTCTTTTACATAGACCAGTGAAGCAGTTCAAGAAACATAAAGAACACAAAAACACTCAGATTTTAAACGCAATGGAACAAGATGGATGTAAAAATAATATTCAAAGGGAGTGCAGAAAAATCTTTCTGGCCACTCAACATCCTGCGCAATACAGGATTCTTAAGATAATTGATTTAAGGTATACAGCAAATAGACAGAACAGACAAAATTCATAGAATTAGAAAACCATACCTTTGGAAGGAACCACAAGAGCCATCTAGTCTAATCTCCTGCCTGCACAAACACACAACGAAAAACTCCTGAAACATGCCTCTCCAATCTCTGCTTAAAGACCTCCCAAAGATGAAGAAAAAATGTGAATGATAATCAGGATCCAATATGGCTCAGTTTACTAGTCCATATGCATTTTGAGGGGCCTGGAGGCAGCTCCCTCTCATGATCTTTCTCACTATGCTCTCCTTCTCGACACTCTTCTTCCACTGTTGCTCACTTCTGCCTCTAATTCCACCTGACAACACTTCATCAAAGGAGAAGGAACAAATTTATTTATTTACCATTTATTTATTTATTTATTATATTTATACCCCGCTCTCACCTCGAAGGGGGCTCAGAGCAGTTTACAGTTTGGCAATTTTCCATGCCATGTTGCAATACAACAGTATATAAATACAGCACATTAAACAATAAAAACAGATAAATACAGTCACACTATTAAAACATATCCTAGTCACATAGCCGTCGTTTGCCCAACATATCCTTGGTTCCATCCCACAGGGGGAAGCATCCGCCACCCAACTTCACTCCATTGCTGCAAGTGCAACATGGGAAACTTCTTGAGTTGCCGTGGAGGAGACATATGCAGTTCCACTCTCCTTTTGCGATGGAGCCAACCGGAGGTAGATGTACATCGTGCGAACGGCTCCATGGCAAAGGTGAGAGAAACTGGCATATGACGGGCAAATTAACCCACATGATGAGGTTGTTTATCAGGTCAGGCACAACACTGACAGTTTGGTTGTTCTTCCATAGGGTGATGGGAGAGCATCCTTCACCATATCTGAAGGCAACGGACTAATTAGAGGGAACACAGCAAGCCTCGCAGCATGCAGGTCACTTCACCAACACCTTGCTGCTACTTCTCAGCATCTGTCACCTAAGGCATTTATCTCATTCTACCTAATGAAAAGACAGCTCTGTTTTGGAAAGCAACAGTAAAGTGGCTACCTATACTTAATGCTGGCATTGGCTGCTTTATTGTCAAATGCTTTTCCGCAGCTTTTGATAATTATCAGAGGTCTTATATCTATGATTAAAGCATCAGAGAAATTGTGATGGCAGGCCCAAGCCTTTGGGTAAACTATATTGTCTGGCTTTACTCGGGGGTTACCTGATATCTTCTGTTAAGCTTAAGACCCTTAGCAGACAGAGGCACTTTAGGCAAGGTGAAAAGATAACCAAATGAGTTTACTGGAAGAAGATGAATAAAGGGTTAACTCCACCTGGAACTATTATAAGGTAACTTAAAACAATACATTACAAAGGGAACCTTTGCTGGTTGCACTCACCTTTCTGGAATCTTTGGAAGTCTTTTGCGTAAAGTGGTGGATTATAAGTTGTTGTTTACAAACTGTCTTAATCTTCTCTCCTGTGAAACTTAGGCTGCCCAAAAGCTTCTGTTGTCCTTTGGACTGCTGGTATAAAATACTGCTAAATGCAGCAGGTGCTAAGAATGCCTATTTTGGATTGCTAGGCCTAGGATATCAGACAATATCCAAGTGTCTAATTCACTGTAGCTCTGCTGTAGAAAAAAGCAAGAGTCCAGCAAAGAGCTCTATGCAGGGAAAAGGAATAGAACAACTAAGATTGGCCTCTGGGGGGACTTTAAGCTTCATCCAAAAACTAATACAAAGGAAATTATCTAGACTATTGGGAAGGCCTATAAACAGGGGGAATTAAAGCAGTGGAGAGGAAAAGGCAGAGCCAAGACTTCACAGAAATGCTGTGCTTGTCCAGAGAAAAGGCCAGAGGAACAAATCCGAGGGCAATGCCCCATCCCCAAGCCTGGTTTGCCAGATTACATGTTTAGCTGTTTCACAAATTTGGGGTCCTTTAATCCAAATAGATCTCATAGTCTTCTGACCTTCCTCGCAATGCTTCACTTTCCTGCTTCTGTGACATTTTCAAAATCTCCCTGCCCTAATTGACAACACAAACATATGCCAGACCAGTAGTTCAGAAGATCGCCATACTCAGACACTTGCAAGAACAGGAAAGTGCTAGCAAAGGGGAATGTCATGCCAGAATAATGAAACAGCAGAAACTAGTCTTCAAGATGTGCCAAAACTGTGCAAAAGTGGCATAAAATAAACAATGCACATGTAGGGTGGACACAAGTAAGAATGCGGGGTCAGTAAAGCAGCCCAGAACCAAGAATCACCAAAACAGCATTGTGGAAGGCGAGAAAGTGATTGTTTTCACATGGAGATGTTTCCATTTGTTCAAACGAGGCTATTGATGTGAGACAAAGGGCTGGTGTAATAAAGTTCCCAGCCTCAGATTCAGTCCCTGAAACCTCAGGACATGAGATGCTGCTGCCTGGCAACATGTTGTCATCATGAACCCATGCAAAAACGTTATTTTATCTTGTTTATATTATTAATCTCTTTATTGCCTTTCCACCTCATAGAAATGGAATCATTTGCTTTTATGCATCCTTTATTTTCACAGGTGATTCGGCAGAAGAAATTGACCTGACTGTGGTGTATCAAGCTGCAGCTAATGGGGATACCAATACTCTGACTTCTGTCATCCGTGAAGATCCTTCCATATTAGAATGCTGTGACAGTGATGGTAAAGTAGCTTTTTGTATTCTTTTTGGTTGTCATGAGAGGTAACCTATAACTCCTATAGCTTTTTCATATCACTTTTAACATGAGAAGTAGACTTGGATATTATTATCCTTTCTTGTGATTAGAAGAAAAACGGTAGTGATTTGTGCTTTACTTTTCATTGTTCATGAAGTCATCAGATGTGTCTGTGCATCATAATGTTTTCCTATATAGCCGACGCTTTCGTAGTCCAATGCTTTCATGAAAATGATAGCATGAAAAGCAAGCTTAAGTCATTCGGTGTTCACAAGTAGCAAAACAACATACATATTGTGCTGTCACGCGCTGGGCCTATAGCAATTGGCTTTTGAACAGGACGTGCTCTTTGTGCCCAGCGGGAAGCCAGGGTGTCTCAAGTGAGAGGCCCTAAGGATTTTCCTGTGCAGAGTCTTTAGAAGCTTGAAAGTCTTTTATTATTGCTTAAGTCTTCAACAAACAATCAAATACTTCTTAGATCTTCAACAAATTAAACAAATGCTTCAAGGCTTTGAATCAACTGGTGGCTTTCTTAATCTTGTCCACAAGAGACAGGCAACTGGCTTCGTGAACTGTTTCTTTTCTTTAAGAGGAAACCCCTTTTTAACCCCTCCTTGGGCAATCTACTTTCTAAACTTTGCTGGTGTGGGCTCTACTCCTGGCTCCAAACTGCTTCTTGGGTCCCGAGTAGACCTACCAATCAAGGCTTTGTAAATTCTCCATCTGGAGTCCTTTAGAACTGTTTCCCCTTGGAATTTCCCCCAGATGCTGTGAGAAATGAAGCTTCTCTACAGGTGGAGCTAATCCACATCCTGTAGCTAAGCTTTCCAAAGCAAGACTGACCTAAAATGGCTCCCTCTCCTCCCAGAGCCCTGGGGAAAGGGGCAGAACCAAAACTTAACAATGATTGATGGGTCATTGGCCCTATAATTGCAAACCAGGGGAAACCACCTTATTGCAAAATGCATGGAAGTTTGGAAAACATGCAAACACTCAAAGAAAGAAAAAGAAGTTGGAGTTTTTGGTACAGCCGTACCAGCACACATACGCTATATTAGAGGCATAGGACTGTCATGAAAGTGGTGAAACCATGAATTAAAATAAAAAAAAATTGTTTTACTTTAGAGAACAACTCTCTAGGAATCTCTTGGTCTTCAAGTGTGATTCTGTGGTCAATGCCTTCTAGAAATTGATTATAAATTTGTGCTGGAGGACCTATAGATTCCTAGTGAGATGTTTTATCTAGGAATCTCTAGATCCTTTAGCACAACACTGTGGTCAACTTTGAACAGAAGCTGACCACAGAGCTACAGTAGTGGTCCTAGAAAGTTTCCTAGAGAGAACCTATTAATCAAAGCCATGAATAATAAAATCTGAAAATGTCAAATCTCCAAATGTGGAGGGTTGACTGTATATCATATCAAAGATAAAACAGTATCTGGTGGGCTCTGGTGATCCTCCACTTCATCTGTCTTTAAAGAGAATAGTAAAACTCAACATGGAAGGAAGATGATAATGTTAAATACTTGAGGGGAATCTCAACAATCAAAATAGAATAAAATACTTTTCTGTCGGAGCCCCCGAAGGTGCAGCAGGCTAAACCACTGAGCTGCTGAACTTGCTGACTGAAAGGTCAGCAGTTTGAATGTGGGGAGCAGGGTGAGCTCCCACTATTAGCCCTAGTTCTTCCAACCTAGCAGTTTGAAAGCATGCAAATGTGAGTAGATCAATAGGTACTGCTCTGACAGAAAGGTAATGGCGTTCCATGCAGTTATGCCGGCCACATGACCTTGGAGGTGTCTATGGACAACACCAGCTCTTCGGCTAAGAAATGGAGATAAGCACCACCACCCCAGAGTTGGACATGACTAGACTTAATGTCAAGGAGAAACCTTTACCTTTACTTCACATTTCCAGTAAAATATCACAATCAATGCCATTTTATATCATTTAATTGCATTTTAAGGTAATAGAGATGGCATATGAGATTTTTGCATAATAACTGAAATCGAAACTACTAAGCACTGCAATCTGTTCTTCATCTTTCTTAAATATGACTCAAAGAAGAAAGTAATGTGAAAGTAATGTTCTTGTACTCCAAAGTTCAGCATATGGAATGATTTTAATTAAAATGTTCAATCAAAAACTATTGAAAAAAACCAGTAGTGAAGGGGTAAGTATGATAAATCATAATATCATGGCTTCTGACCAACTGTTGTCATGTGGAGGAGGAACATAAGCAGCTCCAGTGGTATGGTGGGATCAGCAGCTGACCTGATACGATAACAAAAGATGCCTGGTTTTCTTCTGTTGACATAAAGCTACATAGATTACAGAGCTTTGGGAAAGTTAACTCCTTAGAGCACGACTACTAGATTCCCCAAGTCAGCATCACCCACATCCATGCTGATTTGGGAATTGTGTGGATTTCAGTCTGAAAATGTGTGCAACAAAAACCAACCATCAACTCCACGCACCCACAGATAGTCATCTTGTGAATCATAAATATCATAAGACAGAGGAGGCAACCAACTACCCTCTAGGATTTTTTTTTATAATGAGTTCTATTGGCCTACAGGTAGACTATCAAATGGCCAGGGATGATGGCCATTGTGCCCAAACAATAAAAGGGCATTGAGATCCAAGAAAAATGGGTGACAGTGGGGGTTTTGCCAAGCAATATGACGAATCCGGCAGGCAGTGGGGGAAACTGTCACCCTGTGCCCCACATTGCCCATATCACCTCTTTCCCCATCACACGAGGAAAAGCATCACCACCTGCCTTCCCCTTGTGCTCACCCCATTCTAATCAATGAGAACACAGGAAGCCTTGTATGTTCTCAGGACTCTGTTCAATGACACTTCTAGTACAGATCCAGGATGGAGTCCACCAGATGTAGCTCTGTGTCATGTGATGGACTCTAGCAATCTCTGTCCTGGTTCTGTCCCGGAAGCATACTAGGACAAAGTCAAAGCCCAATGTGATGAGGTCCTAAGTTTCTATGGCAATACTTTGCTTTCCAACAACCATTCTGTCCCCGTTGTGGAACTAGAGAATTCAGGAGCATCTGTCTATACTCCCATAACCAGATGCAGAAAAAGGATACCTCCTGTCTTCTGGAGTATCAGTAGATGATGTATAGGAATGCAGCTAGATGTTTTTCCAGTTCACACCACTCCACTTTCTACTAGCAATGGAGTGGCCACTGAGGTAGCTACAAAGACTACTTGTGACAAGCTTGAGTGACAACATAATCTCTCACTATGATTGTCTCAAGAAGTATAGGCTGAGGAAATCTGTAGCCAGTGAAGCTGAACTATATGTTTTAATTGGAGCTATATCTACCATAAGGCAGAGTCAAGTGTCATTCTCCAACAGCAGTGTTGAGAAGGTGCAGCAAATACTTATTTAATTCATTATTATTTTAATATAAAAGGATGGAGAGAGATGCTTGTGGCACGGAAATAACTTGGGTGATTTGGGATGTACACCTTGTTTTAAAAAATTAAGGAGCAGTTGTTGTTCTCCCTTAGGTAATGCCTTGAGGAGGCCTTTTCTTTGCTTTATCATTTAATTAAAATATATAACACCAGCCTTACATTTCTGTGGCCTTCAGGGTGCCAGGGTGTTCATGTGGCAAGTGGTTTAGTGCTTTCAAAGCACAGCAGGGTGACAACAAACAGATATTCTCTCACATACATATAGGCAAGGAGACAATAGTCTAGCAGATGTCTTAGGAGAAGATGTTTCATCCACCTAGGTCATCTACAGGATCCAAGCTATAGAGCACAGCTCACTTCATCAAATGGTTATATACTGTTTTGTTGTGACAGGCTATAGAGCACAGCTCACTTCATCAAATGGTTATATACTGTTTTGTTGTGACAGGCTATCATGCCTAACCCCATCTTAAAGTACTTGAGAAGTAATGTTTGCTGAAAGGTTGGAAGAATGAAGACTCATTTGATGGAAAGGATGGGAGATTGGGGAAGATGACTCAGAGGAGAGAATAGAGATGTATGGGGAGAGAAAAGGGCAGGAAGGTCACAACAATGAGGTACATGGGCTGATCAGGGCTGACAACAATAAGATTGGTTGACATACAATAGTTCTCTGTTTTCTTTACACAATATGCTGAGGTCTGTTGGTGCAGTATGGGTTGACATTCATAATCCAACAAAAAACTGGAACTATACATCATGATTCAGACAGAAGAAATTACATCATATAACACAGTAAATTCCCCTAACTGAATGCATGCAAAGTTGAAATGACGCATGGCTGAATCTCCCTTAAACACATTCTTCCTTTCTCACCAATGTCTTAAGCCCTAGATTACTTAAGAGTTGGACAAACTACAGTACACTCAAAAACTGGTATCACAAAGTTGAACACCCAGATCTTTAAAAGCAATTTTTTTAAAAAAAGAAGGAGCCTTGTAGACATCACAAGGCATTCCTCTAGGATGGGAATCATTTCAGAAAAGATCTTGTCTACAGTGCCTGCCCACCTAAGAGATCTTACCAGCAAACACATGGGCAGAGCCCTCATGTCCAATCTGAGGATGAAGGAATGCCCATATAGGTCAAGTGTGATATTGGAGGGAGCATGTTGTTTGCAATCCTTCAGGATCCACATCTTTTCCTTTCCTTGCACCTTTCTATAGATGTAGGCAGTCTTTCAAATGACCATCCTCTATGCCATTTACTATTTTGTAGGTGATCACCAACATTTTACGTTGCACCTGGAAACACACATATTTGTGGTTTTAGAATTTTCTACTACCATCTGCTTTCCCACTCCTATCTTCACAAGGTGGTCAACACAGAACATTTTCCTGTTGAGCAGTTACAAATAGAAATACATAACCAATAGTTATGCATTCATAATTAGTGTGCATTCTATATAGCTGTTAGTTGCCCTGAAGTCGACTTATATTTATGGCAGACCTTATTAATGAGAGCACTTCAAGAGCCATGGGTATCAACTGCCCTGCTCAGGTCTTTCAAACCAAGGGCTATCACTTCCTCAAATCTATCCACCTATAATGAGAATCTTCTCTTTTCTTTCTGTCTTACACTTTGCCAAGTATTATAATATTAACTAAGTCTGGTCATCTCATGATATGGCCAAAGTATGGCGGTGTCAGTTCAAGTTTGCTTTTCTCTTTTTTGGCAGTCCCTGGTATTCATCTAAACACTCTCCAATTCCACTTTTCAGATCAGATTCAGATCACAGATATCACGGATGGATTGGTATATGTGATTCCTTATCTGTATGGGAGAGCCAGTATGATATAATAGTTTTGGTGTTGGATAATTTCCTGGTAAACCAGGGTTTGAATTCCCACTCAGTCAAGGAAACTCACTCAGTGACCTTGGGCAAGCTTGGAAAGAAAGCAAGGGTAACCCTTTTTGGTGTACCAGTGGTGCATTATTTGTACAAATAAAATTATTTTTTCATGTCTTTAACAAACTCTTTATTTTCTTCCCAAGGCTGTACTCCCTTGATGCATGCTGTCTCAGGACGTCAACTTGATACAGTCAAATTGCTGCTGAAGATGGGAGCCAATATCAACACTCAAGATGCCTGTGGGCGTACCAGTTTGACCCTGGCAACCTATCTGGTATACAGTTTTCCTTCTCATATTTACACTTAGAAAGGGTGCCTCTAGATAAGGCATTTACTGTTCTATGATTTTTAGAGATTCCCAAAGCTCCACTGGCAACCTGTTCTTTGAGGGCCCGTCCAGACATTACCTTTATGCCAGGAGCTTCCGCAGCAAACAGGAGGGTGGCCAGACGCCGTTTCCTATAAACGCGAAAGCAATCACTATAAACGGGGAAAATGTGAGATTTCCAGGTGTTGAGAAATCACGGATTTGAGCCGAATATGCAGCTCTTCACATGTATGTGAATCGTAAATCATGGGATTTTTGTATTTGAGTTTGTTCCTGGGTTTTAGATTTGTTCCTGATTGGTTGGTTCCTAAAAAGAGGGTGACACTTGAGTAGAAGGCAAAAACTTTGTTGTGTGCCAGAAACTTCATGAAATGTGTGGAGGACACAGTTTTTCTGGCCAGGACAAAGAACAGAACTTGTGCAGTAATTCGCTGCAGTGATTCTCTATATATCAGCATCTTGAGGTTTTTTAAAAAACAAAACCAAAACAAAACACCGAAGTTTCCGGCAGAAGTCCCACGCTGGCCATCTTGGGAGCTTTTAAATCTTGCAAGCATTAAGCCTGGACAACGGAGGCAGAAATACCAGGACCAACAGGTCTATATGTGGACCCCTTCTGAAGTTCCGGGATTTTTTGCTCCTATTTAAAACCTGTCATTTAGTGCTGTCTGGAAGCACCCTGAGTCTCTTATCTCTTTTTTCTAAAATTGTGGATTTATAACCTTCGTTATTACAGCTTAAAATTTTCTTTGCTTTGCTTTGTGCACATATCCAATCCCAAGCGTTAGTTTCAAATACAGTAGATATATAAAATCAATTGGAATTTGTTAGTAGTTAAATAAGTTCCACTTATTCAACAGGGCCAATTGGGATTATAAAATGCATTTAATTTTTTTGTATTTCAGTAATATTGAAATATGCCTTGAGTCTTTTTAGAAAAAAAAGCCACGTAAAAAAATTAGGTAACAAAAACAGAACTGTAGCCCAACAAGTCTCTTACTTCAATCTCTTCCCTCTTATTTAAATTTTGTATTTACATCAAAATCTTTCCAGTGCTACAGTTCAATATTTTGTTTCTTCTACTTAGTATGCTTTATGTACTGTGACTATTTATATGCGTTTCTTCCTCTGGCAGATTTGGTCTTTTGGGGGAGTGTTTGTGGGGCCCCCTCCATATACTAATTTTAATGATGTGTGTAAAATCCATCAAGTGATGTTAAGACATCTCTGGGGAATTCCAAAATATCCACAAAATAACTGGATGTGGAGGGAAGGGGTGACAGCAGAACAGAAAGGATGTGTTTCATGGTGAGGAATGTTGAATAAATGAGTGCATACTGCAGTTGATACCCAATTAATTATGTAAGAATGTTTATAAAAACATATAAATGAAATATTTCTCTATGCCAAATATTTTTGTAAGCTAAATGCACACAATCACCTTCTAGAAATGGTAGCATGGGAACAACTACAGCAATTCTGCTATAACAACATCACCATGTTTCATTCATTCTGAGTCTTCGCCCTTGTTTGTAGTAACACTACTGCTTTGGGATACTGGAACAGTTGATCCACATGCTAGCTCAATATCTTCTCTTGACATCTGTCAATTTTTCTATTCTTTTCCAAATTTTTGTTTGATTCATTCCAAATTTTGAGCGTTTCTGCTGATATATTCATATTAGATTGGAGATCTCCATCGCAAACTTAAAAGGAGTACAAAAGTTGAAGCATGACACCAGTTTTGGTTTCTATTGCTGCTGTTGTCCTTCCAGAAAACCACATGGTGGGATCCCATGTCCAAAACAGGCATTCAAAACTTGGCCTCCAAGGGCCCTTCCACACAGCCCTATATCCCAGAATATCAAGGCAGAAAATCCCCCAGTATCTGCTTTGAACTGGGTTATCTGAGTCCACACACAGATAATGTGGGATTTTCTGCCTTGATATTCTGGGATATAGGGCCGTGTAAAAGAGCCTCTAGAGTCTTAATCCAACACACAACCCACTCTACTGACATATTGGTTAAAAAATATGAGATCCAGTAACTGTGCATTAAAATACACGTGCACTTTCAGCCGGTGATCCTTTGCTGGAGAATTAAAATATTAAAGACCAGCCAATCAACCAAAATGAGGACCTGGAAAAGTATTAATTAATTAATTAATTAATTTACAACATTTATATTCCATCTGAACATGAGGAAGAACTTCCTGACTGTGAGAGCTCAGCAGTGGAACTCTCTGCCCCGGAGTGTGGTGGAGGCTCCTTCTTTGGAAGCTTTTAACAGAGGCTGGATGGCCATCTGTCAGGGGTGATTTGAATGCAATATTCCTGCTTCTTGGCAGGGGGTTGGACTAGATGGCCCATGAGGTCTCTTCCAACTCTTTGATTCTATGATTCTATGATTCTATATGCTGCCCTTCTTACCCCGAAGGGGACTCAGAGCAGCTTACAAGATATACATACTATATATTATATTATTAGCATAGCACAATATCAGTATCATATATTACCATATTGTACTATACCATTACATTGTAATATTATTAGTAATATTACATGTAATATAAAATATATAATTATAAGATTGTAGCCTTAACTTCTTAAACTGATTGCTGAAACAAATGTTTATCCTAGTTGTCTCAGGTTAGAATCTTTATTTAAAGAAATGCTTCTCTAGCCTTATTATAAAATCTTTACCTTCTGCTTTCTGATCTCCTTTCAGGGATGGCTTGAGGGTTGTGTCACTTTATTGAGAAATGGTGCCAGACAGAACATCCCAGATAAAAATGGAAGATTACCACTGCATGCGGCCACTGCTGATCCCAATGTCAGGTATGGTTCTTGAAATATGCCATGGATAAACATTTTACAACTGAAGAAATAAATTGGACAGTTCAGATAAATCTTTGCAATATAATGCAGATAACGCTTCCTTAGAGCAAGTAAAGTGGACATGTCCAGTATGGCTCTTTCTGGCCAAGGTGATAACAGCAGCATATTAATTTAGAAGTTGATAAATCTTTGACATTTGTAAACACTTTAAATGTCTCTAAATTAGATTGCTGTGTTGTTCAACTTAACTGATGGCCAGTGTTATTGAACCTTGTATGCTCTTATTGTAATAGAAACACAATTTAAAAAAAAAATCGCCATCATTGCCACTATCTTATTTTTTCAACTAGACACAGAGGCACAAGTTTAATTAGACTTTTAAAAGACATATGGTCAATTTATATTAATATATATGATCCTAGGCCATGACCGCACTACATATACTGCCCCGCTTTCTTTCTTTCCTCCATGAATTACTTCTCTTTTGTATTTGGAATTAACATTTTAATTTAAAAACCTATGCTCACAGAAACCTTTCAAAGATGATGTTGCACTCCAGACCTGGAAACACCTATGACCACTGCACTACACAAGAATCCAGGAATATAAGTAAACAGTTTATTGTAAAAACTTATAAAATCATATAAAAATCAGGAATAAGAAAGAAAGATATATAATCCAAAAAGCTTTAGCAGCAGGTGATAACCAGACAATAATCCAAATGTCTCATAAAGTTCCAGAGGTGACAAAGTCCAGGAACAGCCAAAAATCACAGATACAGCATAAGTGCACAATCAAGACATAACTAGTAAAACTTGGACATGGACAGAAATATAGAAAACTTCCAGGAGATAGATAGATAGATAGATAGATAGATAGATAGATAGATAGATGATAGATAGATATCAAAATCAAAGCTTGACTCAGGCTTGGCTTCTCACTCTAACACAGTGTTGCCTAAACCGACCTTAAGGTAAACAATTTGTTGTTTAATAGCCACCCATGAAATCATTCCATTTCCCATAAATTTCCTTCACAACTTTTCCACATAATCTATCTGAACAATGCAATCTATTTTTGGTTCTGATTTGTAACTCAAGACTTTTGTTGATTTCCATAACTACAGATGGATTCCCATGGGAAACCTCCTTATCACTCAGCTCTTCACTCGATTCCTTATCTGCTGTTGCTACTTCTGACTCCCCTGAATGCCCTTGAGGCCCTGCACCTTCTGAGCTGGTTTTCTCACAAAGAGAACCATCATTTCCCATACTTGAATTTCCCAGATTTGAGAGCCCACCACTTTGTGCCACAGGAAATCTCACAATCTTCTCTAAATCATCAGTTAAACCATCAGTGTCTGGTGGTTGATCTAAAACAGATGGACTATTTAATAATTGTATAATATTTTCCACTGCCCATAGTATTACATTATCCTTCAAAGATAATGAACAGGTTGGAAATTCAGGGTATTTGAATGATTACATAAAGCTTTTGAATAAGTCTATCCCATCTCTGCATTTTCCCTGACTAAAAAACCCTATGAAAGTAATGAGGGCACTATAGGCAGCGTGAAGGCACACCTATGAGCCCAATGTGGATATAGAATTGCTCATTTTGACCTCACAGAAGTGGTGTTGCTTACATTAAGAAAGGCCTGGAACCGTTGTTTAAAACAGCAATAGGCAGAAGGGATTTACTCGGTAGGTCTTTGGAAAATTTGCAGTAGATAAATAAGGACATCTGTCTCCCAACTGTTTGACAAAATGGCTCACTTCTCCAGGCATAAAATGGCACAGCTGAAAAGAAAATGCCTTGAAAGGGTAATCTGGATATTTCATTCAGCATTGGTGGTTGATGTTAATTCCTATGGTCAGAATTCCTTAATTATAAGTGGGTTAGAATTACACCAGAGATGGGTCATAAATCTCTATTTAAAACAAAAACAAAAACCACATTTCCCAAAAAACTAAAATCTGTTCAGTCTAAGTTATAACACTAGTTTGCAATCATCAGTGGAGAAAAGGATCTGGGGATACACTGGTCTTGTGGCTAAGAAATGCTTGTGTCATTCCAACTTTTGAACTTACTGATGCTCCAGTGTGAAGGCGCTGTATACAGGTCTCACAGTGTGTCAAATCCTTGGTACTTACAGCTTCTGTGTGGAAATGCTGCTTCTTCCAAATACAAAAACTTAATACAAATACACTTTTGCTTTTTCTTGCTAGGTGAAAAATGTTTAGTTATGAAACAATACAGTCTGAGAGGGGAAATCCAAGAGGGATGAAACAGCCAAACTGTTTCTTCAGCATTGCTATAGTATTGCAAAGAGTATGGGTTCTGTTTTATAGAAACTAGCTGACATCCTATCAGTAAACTATCCTGCATTTCAAGGTTTCCTCTACTGGAAGGGCTGTCAAACCAAAATTTCATTTTTTCCTGTATCACCAGTTGTTGTACAAAACACTTTCAAACTATCATTAAGAAATGACCTGATAAAGGCTAGATGCCCATTTTTATGATTACCATAAAGGGTTATTAGGATAGCAGCAAATGGAAGATAAGATTTGACCTCATGTATAAGTTGGAGGCAGGTCTTGTGGCAAAAATTGTGGATTTTGATATTCCCATGGATAAGCTGAGAGTTACAGAGAGGAGGTCCACAAAGAGGAGAAAGTGCCAGCATTGCCTTGTGACTGCTATATTGTTTACTTTTCCTGTGAGTGCCATGTTTATCAAAAATAAAGAAAAATGTACACATTGGGATGTATGGGACTTCAACAAGTGCCTTCTGGCAACAATATAAGCATGCAGTATATTCAGAAGAATTAATGTTGACTTGGGGTAACAAGACAAGAAAAGGCGTTAAGCAGCTGGCATACTTCTGTTCTGACCAAAGGCCAGTCTGTTACCATGGAGACTCTAGACATTTTATTTTTCAAGGATCCCTTTTAAAATGGATTACTGATTCATTTTTAAATATCAGCATACTCCCTTTTCTACAGTCATATTCTTTAATGATAAAGCCCTCTTGGTTACCCTGAAGCCCTGCAAGTATATTGCTCAAGTATTGCTTAAAAGCAGAATGAGGATGGCAGTAAGTGGACAATGAGATTATATGTGAGAAGTGGATGCAAAAGGCGCATAAAGCCAAATGGTTACATAATGCACACATGGCAATACGATGTACAATATTTTCATCAGAGGTAGCAACTGTACTAGTGGTCCATTAAACTGTTATATAATATTTTCTCAAAATAGATTTACTCTATTTGTATATGTCTCTAACTCTGTTATTTACACAAGACAGAACAGCTAATAACATTTCTTGTATGCTTCAAAGAAGTTAATGAATAATTATTGCCATTAAATAGTATTGATATGCCATTGTTGGTTTTGTATGTAGTTACGCATGTATGAACTGTTCTGAAATCAGTAGGATGTTCCTGCACAAAAATGTGCATGGGAAGATTTCCAATAAGAGTATTTTTATGCATGCAGTCCCCAAGTAATTTTTTTTTTCATGTCAGGAGCAACTTGAGAAACTGCAAGTCGCTTCTGGTGTGAGAGAATTGGCTGACTGCAAGGATGTTGCCCAGGGGATGCCCGGAGGTTTTGAAGTTTTTTTACCATCCTTGTGGGAGGCTTCTCTCATGTCTCCGCATGGGGAGCTGGAGCTGACAGAGGGAGCTCATCCACACTCTCCCAGGATTCAAACCTGCGACCTGTCTGTCTTCAGTCCTGCTGGCACAAGGGTTTATTCCATTACGCCACTGAGAGCTCCTTCCCCAAGCAATGAACAAGATAGGCTCAGTAGGTTTGTTCTTAAGTTGAATTTGTATGTAGATCGGAACAGGTACATTTTTGAGGTGTAACTCCAACCATCCCTCCCTCCCTCTCTCTCTCTCTCGATAGCAAAAAGAAGGGTCAATACCCTTGTGGTATTTGTTTCGCTGTCTGTGCCCCTGCTCAAAAGATTTCCCCTCACTTTCTGCCCCTGTGATAATTGGATTTTGAAAAGTTTGGCTTGTGGAAACAAGGACTGGTGAGAAAGCTTCAGTGGAGATACCTTTTCCCCTTGATAACTCTTTCAGGAGTGACTTTCCCTTCTGAGGGATAGATTTCTCTCGCTTCCTGTTGTCTTACCCTCATTTTCAACCATGAGTAATTTGTAAATTAGATGTTTCTAAAACGGGAACTGCCTGTATTCAGAACAAAATAGCCCAAATAGATGGTTCTGTGAGTTCTAAAACTATAGATGTTAAATGATAGGACATGATGCTTAAATGCATTTAGGACCTCATCACATTGACTTATTTTCCCATCCAAGGACACTTCAGGCTCATTTCAATGATGGAGAGGAACAGAGCCAATCATATAATGTTGAACAACTTCCAGCTGTCATGTGTTCCTCTCCATCATTGAAATGAACCTGAAGGAGAACGTTCCCACCACAGGAGAGTAATTGTCTTGTGAGCTACTACTGCAATTTGATTTGCTCTTTAAGACCAAAAGCACATGGGATGGGAAGTATCATTCCCTTTTCCATTTCATTGCTGCAAAACAAGAAAGACATAGAGCAATGGAGAGCATTGTTTGGCTGGTGAGGCAGTGGCAGAGACAGGAGAGAAAGAGAAAGAGAAAAAGAAAGGGCTTTTTGGCTGATAGAGAAGGAGGAAACACAGGAAGGATCTGACAAGCCTCCCCCCACGTGATGAATATGAAGGAGGGCAACAAGGAGTCAAGACAGCTTTCAGAAAACAGTGGGATGGGAAGGAGTAAAAGTTTCACGATTCACAATTCAGAATCGAAAAGCATTATTGCCATCACTAGGGGGGCAGACCCCTACACTTCTCTACAAATCTTGAAGTCCATGTGATGAAGTCCTTAGATGCTGTTGACTTCATGAAGCAAAAGTTAAATTGTAAAACAAGGTTTTGAAATTATCTTTGAATTAGGTTCACTCTATTTTCTAGCTGTCTCTGAATGTTGTTTTAATTATTATATGATAAATATGTTGTCTCCTACAGGCTTTTGTCTGTGTTGCTGCAGCAGTCTGATCTGAGTGAAATTAACCACCAGGACAATGAGGTAAATAAAGCAAACCTTCACCGAAATGCACTTGCTATGCAGAGCGGAAAGATCTCTAAATGGACAAATTAAATGATCTCTTCATGCTTCATGCTACAAAGTTCAAGGCTGGTTTACATTGTCATTTAGCATGTCATGGAAAATTGTTTTATCTGTCCAGATTGAACCATGAATACAACTATGCATCCAACAAAAATGCTCAAGGGCAAATGAAAAGTAAGTGGGCTCACTAACATATACCTTCATAATGTAGGCATTTTATTAGCCTGCAGCCAAGGAAGAGGGTGGAAAACAGATCCATCCTATCAGCCCTGGTAAAAGACTGTATATTTACCAGCTTCTAAAAGCCTCTCCTTCCATCGTCAACCCTAGTAGAGTGGGCTCTTGGTATCCTCTGGGGTTTAATTCCAGGACACTGATAGATACCAAAATACATGGATGTTCAGTTCCCACTATATATAATGACACGATAAAAGGGTACCCTGCATATAAAATGGTACAATTGTGGTTTGCTTTTTGAATATTTAAAAATATTTTCCAGCCATGGATATTTGAATTCAAGGATGCAGAATCTATGGATATGAAGGAAAACTGTAGATAGGAGATAGGGCAAGAAATAGAGTCCTCTCCGATGCACAACTGGTTTCTTTGCTCTGCTTTCCTCCTCCTTTTCTCCCCTTTTGTAAGTCTGCAAGAGAGGTCTGTTTTGGTTTTATTGATTTCATGTAAGCTGCTCCAGGAAGCTTTCAGTTTAGATGTAAAATAAAAATACTATATATATAAAGCAAACAAGCAAACATAGCCATAACTTTTTCTTTTTTCTTTTTTTGTTTAAAAATATCTGTAAAAGACAACATGGTGGGTTATGTGCATTATATGTTTTGATTATCAGTGGTAGGGCCCCTCTGTGGTTCCCAGCCTTTGGTTCCCAGCCTTTGGACTTCAACTCCCAGAAATCCCAGTCTTCTGATCAGCTGCTAGGAATTGTGGGAGCTGGAGTCCAAAAAACCTGAAGGACCAAAGGCTGGGAACCACTGGAAACACCTATTCCATTTGGGGAAAAAATACTGCAAAACCACCAATGTCCTTTGAGCAGAAAAATTTTAAAAACATACAGCAATATATGCAGCAATTTAATACGTCCTGATGAACTGCGCTTTCTAGAGCAGTTGTGAGCATTGATCTTAAGTCCAACACTTGGACTAACAAGTGAGAAAGCAACACATCTGCAGTGGGAAAGTAAATGCCAAGCCCCCCGGTAAGTCAAGTAGTGCTCATTTTTCATTTGGCCTCTGCATTACCTTGTCCAGAATCATTCTTTCTAGTCTTTCTCAGTACAATTTGGTGTCTGAAATGTAGGCATAGAGTTAGACAAGAAAGACAAGACAGAGGAAGGGACAATTATCCTGTCCGCAAATGTCCTAAGTACTAGCCATGTTAGTTTGTTGCAGCAAAAACAGCAATGCCTTAAATCCAATGCTTAGTTCCAGCTAATGTACATGAATTGAATGAATGGAACTTATCTAGGGGTTGATTTACTAAATTCCCATTGATTTAGTGGATCTGTTCTAACTAAGACAATTACTGTACCATGAGGCCAATAGGTATTGTGGCATCTTAAAGACTATGTTTTATTTCACATCTGCTTTCATTGACTTCAATGCACATCATCGCTTATTTATTTACTCCTTTTGTATACCGCCTATATCAGCCAACAAGGCGACTCTAAGCGCTCTAAGCGCTTGTGCTTGAAGATGTAGGCTGGAGTCTATGAAAGCTTCTACCAAATATGATGTATGAATCTGAGATTTGACAAGATTCTGGGCTTTATTTTATTTTATTTATTTATTTGTTAAAAAAATACTTATTCATTTACCACCGTTTTAAAAATTCATGCACAAGTTTAGCAAATTCACAGACCTTACCCAATGAGTGGCTGGCATTTTTTCAAGAGGAAGAACAGAATATACAATTTCTAAAAGTTTTTAAAATATTACTTCAATTTTCTCCACTATTTCACCACAGTTGTTATGTGCTTATAATAAAATGGAAGTGTTGCTTCTGCTAATATAGTCAGGGTGAGAGTTTTGCTTTCTGATTAGAGACAGGCTTTCTCTTTCATTGTTTGTTTAACCGTTCCTCCTTCCACGGCATCTACATGTCAAAATCTCTAATGGCCTGATTTATGGTTTTTAGGGAATGACACCGCTTCACTGGGCTGCTTTCCACAATCGACCCCAGCATGTCCAAACACTGCTGCACAAAGGAGCTGATCCAACACTGGTGGACAAAGATTTTAAGACGGCTCTTCATTGGGCAGTTCAGGTACAGAACAGCAACCAACAAATTAATAGCAAACTCTGTTTGCCCCAAAAAGCTTGGAAGTTTTTTTAAAATAAAGAAAGTGTATATAAGAGCTGTAGCAAACTAGGATTTTGTGAGAGCAAACTAAGCCAGCACGAGCGATGCTCCGCCTCTTTCTCCGCCTATTTCCCTTTGCTAGGGCAGCGTTGCGAGCATACGCTCGTGCCGCAGCAAACTACAGGAAGCTTGCGCTCGGGCTTGCTCCGAAGCCCCGCCTTCCCCCCCCCCCCCGAGGCTGCTCTCTCTCTTGCTAGCGTGCCTGTTTTCCATTGCAGAGGGCAGGGATGCGAGCGTACGCTCACAGTTGAATTCTGCCAACTGCGAGAGTACACTCGCATCGCTTCCCTAGCAAGGGAAAACAGGCACACTAGCAAGAGAGAGAGCAGCCTCGGGGGGGAAAAAAGGCGGGGCTTCGGAGTGAGCTCGAGCACAAGCTCGCTCTCGCTTCCAGTAGTTTGCTACGGCTCTAAGGCCATATTAAGTCCCTATATCAAGAGAAAGTCAGGATAAAAATTAAGTAAATAAAATAAATAAGGTAGTTCTTTGCTTTTATATTTCTCAAAACTAACTAAAACTCTCATCGCAAGGCAACTGAAAAAGGCGGACGTTGCATTGCTTTGCTTCACCTCATGATGTGGGGAAGCCCCACATTGCTTGGTTCCTCTGGTTCCCCATGGGGGGAAGTGTGGTGCGTACATGGGGTGCACTGGTTCCACCACCCCTTCACCCACGGAGCCGGTGTAACATCGGATGATTGGAGTCGACCGGCTCCATGGGTGACCAAGGCTCGATTGGCATATGCCACCAATTTTACCCCATGTGATGAGGTCGTTAAAAAGTTCCTGTTAAATTATGTAAAAAATATAACAGTGGAAGAAGTACCAGCACATGAACCATTGATATTCCTCTTCCACAGTTTAGCAGGCCCAGAATTACAACCCCTGGACAATGACAGTGAAGATATACTTCATTAAACGTAATGTAATTTAATTATGCATTATTTACAGCAAAAAATGAATTAATGTTGACTTACTTGTTATTTGCAAGCATTAGACTCTTCACTTGATTGTTTTATTTCCCACATTGTAAAAATCTGGAAAGTATCAAACAGGTACAGGAACCTAAACAGAAATCTACAATGGGAGCAAGGGAATTGTACGGTCCCATCCACACAGAATCCCCACAGAGTAGTTAAAACAGGAGAGTAGTTAAGACAATAGTTAATGCAGCTGAGTATCACAACTCGGTATCTAAATATCACAGAAAGTAGCACGAATGGGTCAGAAGGGGTCAATATAAGGAAAATGAATTACTACTTCTCTTGCTTATTTGTACAGATGTATATCATTGTTTATTTTAAATAGTTCCAAATTGTTTATTTTAAATAGTTCTTTATCATAAAAAGATTCATCTTGATAAGAACTATCTTGCCACAGAGCTGCTTGAAGACAAGAAACTTAAAAATAATGCCTTGTGGTTGAAAGAGGAAGGAACTTGAATTCACTGCTGACTAAAAGCATGCAGAATTAAATCAAAAGAGTGTAATGAGGCATGCCCAAGGTTGAAGTGGAGCAAAATTGGGCCCCGAGAGTCTACTAGAACCGAGGACCACATCATCCATTAGTAGTTATTTAGTTATTTGGTTCAATTCCATCATTGATGGAGTACAGAATGCTCTTTGATTGTAGGTGAACTATAAATCCCAGCAACTACAACTCCCAAATTACAAAATCATAATTTTTGAGTGATGGTCACTTCTTGTGTTGTGAGACGTTTTGTTGCCAAATTTGGTGTGATTTCGTTCATTGGTTCTTTTGTTTTTAAGGTACTCATTACGCACAGAGCATTTTTTATATATATAGATTGTACAGTGATGTAGCCTGGATGTCTAGAAATGCCCTTTCTTGGTCACACATAAAAACAGCACCTCCCCAACATATAACTCAAAGGGAATAAAAAAAACACAATTAGAATATTGTGTGAATTTACTCCATTTCTGCAACTTTCATTGACAGAATGAGGCAAATGTCATGTGATAGGACCATTTGGAAGGGTGTTCAAAAAGTCTCCGAAATGGAGTATATCTCAATGTGATCAGGTCCAATGCCAGGCATTTGTATAAGGCAGCACGTTTGCCTCAAAGACTGGCATAGTACCCATTTTCCAGTTAGCAGCACTACTTTCAAAGCTGCTTTACACACAGAAAAAGCAAAAAATGCATTTTCTTAGACCCTTGTAATGTAGGAGCATCGAATCTGCAGCCTAAAGTATTCTTTGCCCTCGACATGACTTTTTTCCTCCTCACAGCGAGAAACAGTTGCATGGGATAAAAATGATTTTAAAAAATTAGATTTAGTTTTCCCAGAAGTGGGGACCAGGATCCTGTTTGAAGCATCTAAAATCAGTCCATCTCACATGCAAAATGGGGAAAAACTATAAAATCCTGAGTTAGGTTGGTAAATCTCAGTTTTCTGAGTCCTAGTAATTATTGAGACTTAATTAAACAGTTTTGCATCCTTTAGCTTTGAGACATTCGGGGATCCCGCTGCCATGGCACAAAACTGTGTAGCATTGCCAACAAAGCTGTGCAGCTTCCCAGAAAACTATATAGTTTTCTGGAAGCCACACAACTTTTCCTGAGAACTACATTGAATCCATGGATATAGTATGCAGACATTGAGTCCATGGATATAGTATGCAGACTTTGTTGCTGATTATTTTGGTTAAGCCCTATCTACCTGAATGTCTGGTTTTCAGAGCGGGAACCGGTTGCTCTGTTCGATCATCCTGAGCCACCGTCAGGGACCATCAATAATCAACTACGATGATGAGAATGGAAAGACTTGCATTCACATTGCTGCTGCTGCAGGATACAGCGACATTATCACTGAGCTGGCAAAAATCTCAGAATGCAACCTGCAGGCCCTCGACGTTGATGACAGGTGACCATGGAAATCATCAGAAAAGAGCTGCATCCAAAGCTCCAGATGGGGCCTTCATTAATCTGACCCTCCGGTTAAAGGATGTCTGGCTGCTTGCTAATGAAAGGATACTCTCTTATGTCTCTTGCTTGCTCAGCAGCTCCTCAGCAAACGAACCCACTAAGGTTTATTTTTGTAACCTGTCCTTGTGTTAGGCTAAAATCAAGTTTTGTTTAGGAGATTTACACTGTGTTCACTTAAATGTTAATCTAAAGTGCATCGACATTACAAAATTAATGCAATTTCATACCAATTTAACTGCCTTGACTCAATGCTATGAGATTCTGGGATCTGAAAGTTTCAAGGCAATCAGACCTCTCTGCCAAAGAATGCTGGCGAGTCACCAAACTACAAATTCCAGGATTCCTTAGCATTGAGACATGGCATTTAAAGTGGTCTCAAACTGCATTAATTCTGCATTGTAGATGCACCCTGAGTTTACAGCACATATCAATAAGAAGTCCTTTAAATTAGGTAATAACAGTAATGAAAAAAGTACATTTCATGTAGGTACAGTTACAGGGAAAGAATACAAAAAGAGATTTACAATATCAGCATTTCCATTCCAGAAACTCCCAGTTAAGAAATCAAAGTGCTACCGTTGCAAATGGCAGGGAAACTTACAATTAGCAAAATACTATTTTTAAAATAAATGGACGAGCTTTCTGAGACACAATGTCTTTTTTGGCTTTGAGGGCGGAATTCATACAGTTCACAATGCAAAACCATAAATATTTTTTGTTAAATTAAATTCGTTTTGGAGGACTCTCTCTCGAGGGAAAAACTCTCTCACAATAGCATAAAGAAATACAATTTTAAAATGTAGTAATTATGTATTGCATCAAATACAATTCTTGTTGCAAGCACAACAAGAATAGAAACTACCAATAAAACTAGACTAAAAACTCCCCCAAAAAAGCAAGGAAAATAGGTGAGTCTTCCAAGTTTTTTTGAAGGCTGTACAAAAAACCCAAGCCAAATAAAACAATGAATGAAGCTAATTCCTGTGATTTGGGTTACCAAGAAAAAATATATTTGTGCTGTTATAAACAATCTGGATCTTGATGCAAAGGCCAATTGGCAATTCCTAGATCCTATCACAGACTGTGTGATAGAGGTGCCAACAGAATATAAATTGTGCTACATATGCTAAAGTTTCTGGCAGCGTTTAATGTTCAAATGCAGTCATTTCAACGTAACATCAGAAGAACAATTGGGCAAGTTTCCCAGAGAAGGAACAAAGATACACTTCACAAGTTCCAGAAAATCTTTTAATTGCAGAAACAGATGGTAGGTAGCAATCCTGTCACTTGGTTCTAACATAGCATTACATTCAAATGAGCAGTTATCATTCTATAACAGTGGATCCCAACCTGTGGTACTCCGGTTGTTTTGGACTTCAATTCTCAAAAATCCGAGCCAGCTTACTAAATGTTAGGAATTGTGGGAGTTGAAGTCTAAAATACCTGGAGGACCAAAGGTTGGGAACCACTGTTCTATAAGGATTTCTATAAGGATTTTCTATCCTGATTTTAAATAGCATGAGGTTACAAAACACATTTCTTTCCCCTCCTTCAGAACGCCTTTGCACTGGGCCGCTGCTGCAGGAAAACCAGACTGTGTGAAGACCTTACTACAGCTGGGAATCGATAGCAGCCCAAGAGACATCAACGAGAACACTCCACTGACGTATGCTATTTACTCTGGGAATGCTGCTTGTGTTAAACTGCTCTCCCAAGAGAACAGGTAAAAAAACTCTCCTTTTCCATCAATTTTTATTTATTTATTTAGACAGGTTAAAAAAAAACCTACATACATACAAACACACAAAAACACCAAAAAACAAAAAAAACAAAACAACATTGTCAACAACAAAATCTTAAAAATACTTTTTCTAGAATAATACTACTACATTCTAAACATTAAAATAAACAATAACTACAAACAATCTGCATTATCTCCATTTTCTACACTCATTTAGTGAAAAGGAACCATTGATCCATCCTTTCTCACATTTTTTTCGTGTCAGTAACAACTTGAGAAATGCAAGTCACTTCTTGTGCGAAAGAATTGACTCTCTGCAAGAACGCCCAAATGTTTGATATTTTATTATCCTTGTGGGAGACTTCTCTCATGTCCCTGCATGGGGTGCTAGAGCTGACAGAGGTAGCTCAACCCACTCTCCCCTGATTCGAACCGCTGACCTGTCAGTCAGCAGTCCTGCTAGCACAAGTGTTTAACCCATTGCGCCCCCAGGGGCTACTCTTTCTCACATAATAACACGCTTATAGCTCAACAAAAAAAAAAACAGTGATGGAGATTTGACCCTATCTTTGCTGGAGAAACACAATAAATGGGTTCCAGTCTTTCTCAGAGTTAGAGATTTATCCTTAATCAATGTAGTAAATTTATCAATTTCTGCAAGTTTGCTTATTTACATAAGCCAATGGCCTTCTGATGCAAACATTGAGTCTTTCCATCTCTGAGCATAGGCAATTCTTGCTGCCATTATCATGTATGGCAATACCCTTCCCCATTTTCTATCAAGTTGTTCATCTGACATCCCAAGCAAATAACATTCAGGTCTCATTTCCAATTTCCATTTCCAATTTCTTCTAAAATCTTATGTATTTGTGCCCAGTATTTCTGGGCCCTTTTATATGACTACCACATATGTTAAAAAGTGCCCACCTTTTCCTCGCATTTCCAATGATTGCTAGAACTATTTTTATATATCTTAGCAATCCTTTCTGGTGTCAAGTACTATCTATACATCACTTTATTAAAAATCCTTTCAAGTCATTACTCAGTGTAAATTTCAAACTCTTTGTCCAAACCCCTTCCCATTGTTCCATTTGTATTTGTTTACCAACATTTTGTGACCACTTAACCATACCATTTCCACCTGTTCCTCTTCCATTTCATATTGCTGGTATTGCTCTTTGCTTTTATAGTGATTATTCCTCAATGTTGGACATATCGGTTACATTATCTCTATTATTTACTTACTTACTTACTTATTTACTTACTTCATTTATATACCGCCCTTCTCAAGCCTGAAGGGGACTCAGAGCTGCCAATACAAAGTCTGTGAGCTTATTTATTTATCTTTTCTTCTCCTCCACTTAAAAATCAGAATTAATTTTGTTTCCTATGGTGTGAACTGTGAGAATGGAAATACTTAAGCCCTTTTCCGATAAAACTCCTACAGATTACACATCCTATTAAAGCAGTGGTTCTCAACTTTCCGAATGCCACAACCCCTTAATACAGTTCCTCATGTTGTGGTGACCCATAAAACCTGCAACCATACAATGATTTTCCTTGCTATTTCGTAACTGTAATTTTGCTACTGTTATGAATAGTAATGTAAATATCTGATATGCAGAATGTGTTTTTATTCACTGGACCAAATTTGACACAAATACCTGATACACCCAAATTTGAATACTGGTGGGGTTGGATTGATTTTGTCATTTGGGAGTTGTAGTTGCTGAGATTTATGGTTAGTCTACAATCAAAGAGCATTCTAAACTCCACCAACGATGAAATTGAATCTAACTTCCCACACAGAACTCCCATGATCAACAGAAAATACTGGAAGAGTTTTGGTGGGCATTGACATTGAGTTTGAGAGTTGCAGTTCACCAATATCCAGAGAGCACTGTGGATTCAAATAATGATGAATCTGGACCAAATTGGCACGAATACTGAATATGCCCAAATATAAACACTGATAGATTTTGAGGGAAGTAGACCTTGATATTTTGGAGTAGTAATTGCTGGGATTTATAGTTCACTTAAAGAGCATTCCGAACCCCACCAATGATAAAATTGGGTCAAACTTCCCACAAAGAACCCACATGACCCACAGAAAATACTTTGTTTTCTGATGGTCTTTGGCGACCCCTCTGACACCCCCCTTGCGACCCCCACCAGGGGCCCCGACCCCCAGGTTGAGAAACACTGTGTTAAAGATTACTAGAAGTTGATTATTTAGAGAGAGAAAAGCTGTTGCTGCGGCCAGATATAAACAATTATTCTGACTAATTTTGGAATGATAAAAGTGGAACCCTTCCAAATATAACAGCGTAACTATACGCAACTTGCAAATTGAAATTGCCTTGTAATCCAATATTGAAAGTGCACAACTGTCTGAATGGTTCTGCTCCAATACCAAATCTATGAGCTTTTTTCTCCTTTATCTTTGTGAAGTATTTTGTTAAGATGTCCAATATTTTACTTTTAACAGTGGTTCTGAATTGCAGAATTGATTGCATTATTTTCTGACCATGGATTTTTGTCTTATTCCTCAAGGCCAGAGATTGTTCATCAAGTTTCTTTGCAAAATAATGCATTCCTGAAGAAAGAAAGTAGATTCTGCAGGCTGAACCAAATCTTCTCCAGCAAAAAGAAAAAAGGAGACTGGAAGTCAAATCCTAAAGAGAAGAATAAGGACAGGTTTCAGAGGGAAGAGACCTCAGAAGTAGATGAGATTATTACCACATTTGACTGCATTATGGATGCCGACTGCAAAAGTTCTTCAGAAGAGAGTGTGGCAGCTATTGATTTTAAAAGAAGGACCACAGACACTAAAAAGTACCTCATCTCTGAAAACATTACCCCAGACTGCAATGGCCTTCCGCCAATAAGAACACAAAGCCTCCCTCCCATTACTGCAGGCCATTCTTTTTTAACAGCTTCTCATACAGCAAACTCTAACATGTGTTTGGGTCCCGAAACCCTCCCTTTTCCACAGCAGTCCCAAAAAAGCAGAAGTGAACATGACTTGTCAAATCAAAGGAGCAGCCGACAAACCTCGGACAATCTTTGGAAAGCTGACACTAACCAAATACTCACATGTAAAGTCTGGACAACAATGCCTTCTGACAATAAACTGATAAATGGATTGTTCCCAAACAAATCCAATCATGTGTTGTTGTGTCCTCCCCATCTTCCACACCTGCCTAGTTCTCCATCAGGTAATTTTTTTCCTGTTCTGTATTTACTGGCTGTAACCCCCAAAATTATCACATTTGTTTTCCTTAGCACAGAAGAACAAAGAGAAATACTAAAATAACAGGGGAATTCTTGACATGAAACAATCAGGGCCATCTAACACCTCCCGACAAACGATTTCCCCAGACAGGAAGCAGCCAGGCTTTGAAGCTACAAGGGCATTAAATGCTAATCAACGCCAATTGCAACATTCACACTTGCCTAAAGCAAACAAGAGTTCTTTCTCCCACCCTGGACATTCCACAGATATATAAACTTCACTTGCCTAGTTTCCAACAGACCTCACAACTTCTGAGGATGCCTGCCATAGATGTGAGTGAAACATCAGGAGTGAATGCTTCTGGAACATGGGCATACAACCCAGAAAATTCACAGCAACCCAAGAGCACATCGATTGCATTAAATGAGATATACCTGTATATGAAATCAGAAGGAATCAATTAGGACAGCATTTCTCAACGTGGGGGGGGGGGGCGTGAGGGGGTGTCAGAGGGGTCGCCAAAGTCCATCAGAAAACATAGTATTTTCTGTTGGTCATGGAGGTTCTGTGTGGGAAGTTTGACCCAATTCTATCATTGGTGGGGTTCGGAATGCCCTTTGATTGTAGGTGAATTTTTAATCCCAGCAGCTCCCAAATGTCAAGGTCTATTTCCCCCAAACTCCACCAGTGTTCACATTTGGGCATATTGAGTATTTGTGCCAATTTGGTCCAGATCCATTACTGTTTGAGTCCACAGTGCTCACTGGATGTATTTGAACTACAACTCCAAAACTCAAGGACAATGCCCACCAAACCCTTCCAGTATTTTCTGTTGGTCATGGGAGTTCTGTGTGAGAAGTTTGGTTCAATTCCATTGTTGGTGGAGTTCAGAATGCTCTTTGAATGTAGGTTAACTATAAATCCCAGCAACTACAACTCCCAAATGACAAAATCAATCCAACCCCACCAGTATTCAAAATTGGGCAAATTACGTATTTGTGCCAAATTTTGTCTGGTGAATGAAAATACATTCTGCATTTCAGATATTTACATTATGATTGATAACAGTAGCAAAATTACAGCTACGAAGTAGCAATGAAAATGTTATGGTTGGAGGTCACCACAACATGAGGAACTGTATTAAGGGGTCGTGGCATTAGGAAGGTTGAGAACCACTGGGTTAGGACCTCCCCAAGTGCCACCTATGTTATCAGGCCCTGTCTTTTCAAAATTACCATAATATATGTATGTATTTGTTCAATTGTTTCAGGCAAGAATATCCAACAAGCAACATTAGATCAACCCAAAGTCAGAGATCTAACACCTGTGAGGAAGAGCTTGTCACCCATACCAAACCACTGTGTTCAGAAAGGTAAGAATTGTATCACAATTGCCAACCATTAGATGGCCAACAAGACGATTATAAAAGCAATTTAAATTTAAAACAATTGTTAAAATATCACATATAAAATATACAATTAAAATAACCCAAGTTCAAGTCATAGTCCAGGTCAATCCACTATCAGTCCAATAAGTCATTCTTATTGTTAACTCTGTGTCAGCTGCTCGAAAGTTTGGTCCCACAATCAAGTTTTTTTCCTAAAGCATAGGAGGGAGGGGCTGATTTGATTTCATTAGGAAGACTGTTCCATAGCTGGGGGGGTCACCACAGAAAAAACTCTGTTTCTCATCCCCCACCAGCCGCACTTGCAAGGATGGTGGGATTGAGAGCAGGGCCTCTCCCGATTATCTTAATCTCCAAGGTGGGACGTATAGGGAGATAACGTTCAGACAAGTAATCTGGACCAGAACTGTTTAGGGCTTTATAGGCCAAGACCAGCACTTTGAATTGTACTCTGTAGCAAATCAGCAGCCAGTGGAGCTGGCATAACAGGGGGGTGGTATGCTCCCTGTATGCAGCTCCGGTGAGCAATCTGGCTGCTGACCGTTGGACTAGTTGACGCTTCTGAACAGTCCTCAAAGGCAGCTCCACATAGAGCATGTTTGACACCATTGTTTAGTGTTAGGCTGGGACTTGGGATATGTAGGTTTAAGCCTCCACTGAGCCATGAGAACTCAATGGATCACCTGAGACCAGTCAAGTTCTCTGTGTGTCAAGCTTATCACCACACTTCATTTATTTCTTGTTTCCATACAAGTTGGAAAATAATATGAAGGCATATGTAGTTTTTGGTGATTATTTGCACTTTCGGGTTGCTCCCCCCCCCACCTCCCAAAAGTAACTAATGCTTTTTCTGCAAAAAAAAAAAAACAAAAACATTTTGTACAAAAAAAGTTTATGTGCATAAAAAATAATCCTCTAAAGATCTAATGCAGGAAAAGAGTTTGTTTTGTGAAAAATACATTAAGGGCCCTTCCACACAGCTGTATAACCCAGAATATAAAGGCAGAAAATACTGCAATGTCTGCTTTGAACTGGTTTATCTGAGTCCATGCTGCCATATATACCAGTTCAAAGCAGAAAATGTGGGGTTTTATTCAACTGTGTGGAAGGTTCCTGATTCCCATGAAAGCATCACAACAAGAAAAAATTCCAAGGGACTGTGTGGTTTTAGATTTGCCATTCTTCTTCCTCATTGTCAGTGGAAAACATGTTTTTCATTAAGATTTTCAAAACACTATTTATTTCAAAAACGAACATTCATAGTAGTGAGTGAAGGTACTGAATGTATCTGCATATTGTTTGGACAGGTTGCATACATTAGTAAAAGCTGAGTGATGTGCCTATAATGTCTACAGCCTTTTATACTAATTAAAATCAATTTGGATCTGGAAATGACATGCAGAGACATCAACTGCTAATATGCAAGACTCTATATTGTGAGAACGCTCACTTTTTTTGCCTCGTCTGTAAGAGACCTGTATCTTATTCCCTGGGCCAATATTGGAAAGCAATAAATTCATTTTTCTGTATAGAAGAAGGTAGTTAGTATACTTAAGTTTATACCAGTGGCTCTCAACCTGTGGTCTGTGGAACGAAAATATGGTCCACAGCCTCACCATTACTACACCATTGTCTCGAAACCACATGGCAAGGAGAGTGACTGGTGTCATGAAACCCTCTCATAGCGCCGAGGCAACGGGGATGTCAGGAGCGGAGAGGCTGACTATCCACGAAAGATTACTACTACATCAGACCTAGATTATTAAATATGATTTTCTGTGGGCGAACAGATGGTGACTACTGGATGGCATATGTTTTCTATCAGAAACAGGATGTGGTCTATCCAATGCAATTTTCAGCATCATCTCAAATAACCAAACCGAAGCTAAAGTTGACCAAAAACTGATTTGTAACTCTTTTGGTACTAATGTTGGAGAATGGCCTCTGGTCAAAATAGTCCCTGGTCATATGATCCCTGGTCAGAAAAAAGTTTTGAAACACTGGTCTATACAGTAGAGTAGAAGGATTTAGTAAACCTTTTAAAAGTAATTAACACATAAATAAATGATAACAGAATATAATAGAAAAGATTTATTGTCATTGTTCTAATACACAATGAAATTAAATGCCTTTCCCAGGACACACCACAAAACAACACACCCATCCCTCAACACCCCATTCACCATCTCACAACCACCAATGCCACATCAATGAGAAACCATGGAGTTCAACATAGCCACAGCTCTAGGATGTACAGGGTGTTTTTGCCAACCTGTACCATCAGCCAGATGGTAATAATTTAAAAAAATAAGAATATGCCTGGTAAGAAACAGTATTTTTCTGTTTCTGATTAAAAGCTCATGCAAGCAGAGTTTCTGCCTGTGTCAAAATATATTGCTTCAGTAGGTTATGCCAATGGTTTAGAGAAGTCTAGCTGGCAGAAGTGCTCTATTCAGTGTTGCATTTGCATGTAACACTGGGCTAAACACAAAAGTTTCTGATCACAGTCATTCCTGTACAGTGGCATCTTGAAGCCAAAAACAGCAACTATACGTGATTTCAGAGAAAAAGTGTAAGCCGCACCAGCTGAATACTTACGTGTAATCCAAAAGAACGTGTAATCCAATAAGTTTGAAAACAAAATTAAGTGGCTGCACAGTTAGTGGTGATGTTGGGTTGAGCGGATAGACAAAATAGACAAAAGCGTCTCTCAAATACTGCGCTGAAAACAAGGAAAATTTAAATAACATGAATAGAATATGTGTATATAGCAATGCAACCTAATTGTTTTGGAAATAAGGCTAATTGCTTAGAAAACATACTTAAAGCTGCAATTTCAATTTGAAATGCTTCTTACATTCAGAACAGAATTCCATAAAATGTCAAAAGGCAAAGTCAGAGTGTAAAAATTGTATCTAAGAGAAAATGTTAAAATTAGGACATTATAACGGTAAAAGAATGAAAAAAAGCTAAAGAGGAAACACTTAAAATGAAACTACAGTAGAAGATGTGCAGGATATTCAAGTAACACGGACACAAATGTTTTGTAGAGTTTGAGAAATGTCTGTTTACAAGACAAACCAATGTACATGTACACAAAAATAATCCCCACAGTCTGTAACAGAATTTAGTCTCACGACATTCTAGCCTTGAGGTGCGACTATTCCAGGCATGGGCAAACTTCGGCCCTCCTTGTGTTTTGGATTTCAACTCCCACAATTCCTAACATCCGGTAGGTTGTTAGGAATTGTGAGAGTTGAAGTCCAAAACACCCGAAGGGCTGAAGTTTGCCCATGCCTGCTGTATCCACTTTAGAGTAAACCCCAAGAACCCAATTGATTATTTCAGTATGGATAGGCAGAGGACTACGCTCTTGGATATTCAAAATGTTTACCCCATTATGCCGTTATGCTGGGTACTTTACCAAAAATTCATTATACAGTTGGTCCTCCGTATCCAATAATTCTGTATCCATGGATTCAACTCTCCACAACAGGAAAACACCCCAAAAATTCCCAAAAGTAAACCTTTATTTTTCTATATTTTTTGAGCATCCATAGATTTTGGTATCTACAGGGAATCTTGGAACCAAACCAAAGAGGATACCAAGTATCTACCATATTCGTTGAGGATTTTTGGTCCTTGTTTAGACCCATAGTCATTGTGAAGAAGTATGTTTATGTTACCTGATAAAAATACTGACAGTAACACAGCTGGAGAAACAAATGTACAAGTATACAGTACAATTTAGCAGCACCAATATGATTTTAAATCCCTAGGTATGCTTCTTTTCTTGTATAGACGCATGTCCATGCTTAAATGTTCTTCTTTAAAATATATTATAGGGCTGCAACAAATATGCCTAAAATAGTGTCAAAGAAACTTAAGTCAAGAGCCCACTTCCTCTATCCAAACATTAAATCATTATGTTCAGTTGAGACCCCAAAATAGTCATCTGCTGCAGGATGTGAATTTTTTAACCCTTCCTAGAGTTTTAGCACTGTTTAACATGTCCAATATTATTCTCATCTTCCCTTCCCAAAAGGGAAATAAGATCCATTCCAGCCTTTTCCACTCTCTTTTTCATGACTTCAGCTGCAAGCTTCTGGACAGCTTTCAAGAGAAACAAGGGCTTCATGCCTATGTAGATTTGTTAGCATAATGACACAGATTCATGCCACCCGGTTGGACTTCTGAGAAAAGAGCTCATTTCTCAGCCACATACATTTCAGTTCCATGCAATTTTCTCAGCTAACACACATACACACACAAATTGCACCACAACAGGAAAAAGCAAATAGGTATTTTTCTCTGGGAGCCCCCAGTGGCACAGTGGGTTAAACCGCTGAGCTGCTGAACTTGCTTATTGAAAGGTCAAGCGGCTCGAATCTGGGGAGCAGGGTGAGCTCCCGCTGTTAGCCCCAGCTTCTGCCAATCTAGCAGTTCGAAAACATGCAAATATGAGTAGATCAATAGGTACCGCTCTGGTGAGAAGGTAAGGCTGCTCCATGCAGTCATGCCAGCCACATGAACTTGGAGGTGTCTACGGACAACGTTGGCTCTTCAGCTTAGAAATGGAGATGAACACCACCCCCCAGAGTCGGACACGACTAGACTTAACGTCAGGGGAAACCTTTACCTTATTTTTCTCTCTCTTCAATAGTTACCCAACGACTCATTCAAATGAACAAAGCTAATGTACAGCAATTAGGTGTTGGAGTAAACCTTTCAATGAAGTATTTTGTGCTTGTGTGTCTGCATGACATCCCACCATCATATTTACTATAAAATCGCACTGCCTTATACATGGGTTTTTACAGGACATCCAGATGACAGTATCTGCTGTTTCTAACCCTCCTGTGTTTTCTCATTGTTTCTTCCATCCTTTTCTTACCAGGAAAAAGTTGGTAAGGGTGGAATAGACATCTGCTGTTTAGTTGTGTGCAGCAGGAGCCTTCTATCAGGAA